CGCCCCTTTGTGCCCGGGAGCTGCTCTAAGGTGTCCCCGTCAGGAGCCTTCTCTTCTCCAGCTGCCCCAGCCCAGCTCTCTCAGCCTGGCTCCAGAGCTGAGCTGCTCCAGCCCTCGCAGCAGCTCCGGGGCCTCCTCTGGCCTCGCTCCAGCAGCTCCACGTCCCTCTTGTGCTGTTCCCCAGAGCTGGACCAGGGCTGCAGAAGGGGTCTCCCCAGAGCACAGCAGAGGGGCAGAATCCCTTCCCTTGACTTGCTGCTCATGCTCTGGGCATGCAGCCCAGCACCTGGGGGTGGTTCTGGGCTCAAATGCATGTGGCTGGGTCATGGGGAGCTCATCAACCAAATCTCAAACTCCTTCTTGGGGCTGCTCCATCTGGTCTCCCCCCTGCCTGTGTTTGTGCAGGGCATTGCTCTGACCCATGTTCAGGACCTTGCATTTGGCCTTGTTGAACTCCATGAGGTTCACATGGTCTCACCTCTCCAGCCTGTCCAGGTCCCTCTGGATCCCATCTCTTCCCACCAGCCTGTCAATAGCACCATACAGCTCAGTGTCAGCAGCAAGTATGCTGAGGGTGTACTTGATCCCAGCGTTCATGTTGCTGACAAAGATGTTAAACAGTGCTGGTCTCAACACCAGCCCACGATGAACACCACTTGTCACTGGTCTCCACTTGAACATCAAGCCCTTGACCACCTTAACGTCTGAGTGGTCCATCCATCAAATTGGAGTTTCTCTCCAATTTAGAGACAAGGAAGTAACTGGAGGTGGTGTGAAATGCTTTGCACAAGTCCAGGTGGATGGTGTTAGTTGCTCTTCCTTTATCCACAAACAACATAACCCTGTCATAAGAAGGCTACCAGACTGGTCAGCCATGATTTGTAGGTCAGATTAGCTGTGTTTTCATGCATGTGGTGGTTGTTGCTTTAAAGGGAATATACAGTCAGCTTCAGGGGCAAATGCTGCAAAAGCCATTGTTTAGTAACTTTAGAAAAACCTCACTCTTGTAAGACTTCTTCCAAAAGCATATGTAAGATTTTTGCATTGATGGACAAAACTGCGTCATTTTTTTATACTCTTAGGCATTTTTAATGAAGGTGTTAATTTAAAATCTTGCTGATTCTGGTATTGAAGCCAGCCTCTGTCTTCTAATAAAATGAAATCCATCTTGTAACAAAATGCTAATTTGTGGAGTTTCAGCATAAAATGTTAGCTGTTTCAAGGCATGATTGACTGCACGTTTCACCTTGATTAAGTTGCAGGAATACACAAAAGGCAGCAGCAGGGTAAGAGGCAGTATTTTGCAGTACATGCCGTTTCCTTAATCTCAGTGTAAAGGATTATTTTATTCATTTGCATTCTGATTATAGAATCCAGAATCATGCTTACTGCCTGCTACTGAAATAAAGGAGGTGATGTTACTATCAAGCTTATGCTGTGGAAGCATGTAACATGAACTTCTCAGTAAATTCTTGAATATCAGTATTACCTTTTAACACAGTTTCTCTCTTATGTGGCATGACTATAAAGCTGTTCTAGTACTTCAAGCTATTTTTTATGAATACTGAAACACTTCATTTTCTCATTCTATTTGACTGTGAGACTAAGGAAAATTGGCAGGAGATTGCCAGGTCGAAACTAACCTTCTGCAGCAGCTTGCAAACTGGATAGAGTTCTGTCTCCATCTCCTCTTTTCTTTATTGTGCTGTTGAGAGAAGCTGATGGGATGAAGTTAAGGTGACATGTGCTGTTGATCTCTTCTTGAGGTGAGCCATTCAATACCTTATGAGATGCTGCTTTCACTGATAATTGCATCTGTGGTGTGTTTATACATGGGGTGTTGGGGGAATACCAGACTGCTGGGTTACCTCCCTGATAGCCACTTGATAGAAGCATTGCTGTTTCCAGACTGGCTGTCTAGAAATGTTGAAATAGGATAAACCTCATCCTACCAGCAATAAGGAAAGGGTGTGCCTCTTGAGAGTACTGCCATAGTATTTTAGATGGTGGTTTTGATTTGCATGAATAATGTGGCCCTTGAAAAGGTTGCTTGCTCCTGCTGTCTAGTAATGGCACAAGACGGATCAGCTGGATAGATGGGCTGAGGGTGATTGCATGAGGTTCAACAAGGAAAGTGCTGGGTTTTGCACTTGGGCCACACCAACCCCCTGCAATGCTTCAGGCTTGGGAAGGAGTGGCTGGAAAGCTGCTCGGTGGAAAAGGACCTTGAGGTGCTGATTGACAGAGCTGAACATGAGCAGCTTGTGCCCAGGTAGCCATGAAGCCACCAGCATCCTGGCCTGTATCAGCAGTAGTGTGGCAGCAGGGCCAGGGCAGGGACTGTCCCCCTGCACTGGGCTCTGGTGAGGCTGCACCTCAAACCCTTGTGTTCAGCTCTGGGCCCCTCACTGCAAGAGAGACAATTGAGATGCTGGAGCAGGGCCAGAGAAGGGCAACAGAGCTGGTGCAGTGCCTGGAGCACGAGTGTGATGAGGAATGGCTGAGGGACCTGGGGGTTTTAGTGTGGAGAAGAGAAGGCTCAGCGGGGACCTTATTGCTCTCTACAACTACCTGACAGGAGGTTGTAGTGAGGTGGGGGTCGGTCTTTTCTCCCCAGGAACACGGGATAGGACAAGATGTTAACGGGCTTGAGCTGCACCACTGGAGGTTTAGACCAGATATTAGGAGAAATCCCTCCCTGAAAGGGTTGTACAGCCCTGGAACAGACTGTCCAGAACAGCGGAGGAGTGTATCATCCCTGGTGGTATTTAAAACCATGTAGATGAAGCCCTTAATGACATGGCTTAGTCGAATCCTTGGTAGTGCTGGGCAACAGTTGGACTTGATGATCTTACTGGTCTTTTCCAACGTCAATGATTATGTGATTTGAAGTTCAGTTTTCATCTGGTGCAATTCCCTGATCTGTCTTTTTGTAAAATCAGTTTTCTCAACATTAAGGAGAGAATAGGGAGCAAGCAGCTAGGGGCACAGAGGGAGTTCAGACTCTTTGGTGTCTGACTGCATGGTTGTGTTACAACTTCAGCTGACATCCCATTTATGTTAGAATACATGGGTGTAAATGTTACAACTGTATAGTAAGGATTAGGGAAGGTAAATCCCAAACATTGCACTGTGAGTTGTATTCCTTCTGAAATCAATGCCCAAAGCTTTAAGTATTTTGTATTGGTCTACTATTTAAAGTTAGCAATGCACTTTCAAACTGTTTTTAAAAGTATCTTTTATCATGCCAGATGTCTGCTAATGCCTGCCTTCTCTGTTAAGGTCTTAATCTGCCAGTCCTTGAATGTGGAGCTGGTACAGTACAGCAGTAGAGATTAAAGTTGGATGTTCTATAATCTTTAAAACGTCATCTCCTGGTAACAGTGGATATGTCACACAGAAATAAGAAGGTAGATGGCTTAGAAGAATTCTGGACAATTTCATACCTCTGAAGAGAGCTTGCTCACAAAAATGTGAGATGGTATGCCTGTGCCAAATTACTTGTTTGTAATAACAGGGGGGAGAAGATCACCTTCTTCTCCGAGTCTGCTTTTTAATTTATTTTGGTTTTAAATGAGAATATTTCTGTTTATCAACTTCATAGATCAATCCTTGGTCTTCCACAACAAACTCTGGTAATCAAGTAAATAGTATTGTTTTATTTTGAAGAGATCTTTGTGTTCCACAGTACCAGAATGTGGTATGAAAAGGACAAGAAGCTTACTGTGACTTTCTGGAAGAATCAATTTTGCTGGTTAAACAGGTTTTTAGTGTGATATGTACCTCTTAAAAACTGTCCACCATGCTGTGCCATCCTTTCAGGAGTGAGACCTGGTGTGCCTGTCTCTGTTCAAGCATGCATTCGACAGACTGCCCAAAACAAAAAATAAACTATGCAGAACTTACACTTTCTTACTTCTTAAAATGTGTTTGAAGAGTGGTGATAATACTGATGAATCTGTTTTTTGTTTGTTTCATGAGGTGAGATTATTTTGTGTTAGAGCTTATATTTCTGCCTGTGAATTTAAAGTAGCACTGCCTGGGTTGCATTAAGGTTTTGTTGTTGCTCTTGTTTGAGTATGGAAACAATTAGAAGTCTTTGAAATATAACCAGATATAATTTAATATAACCAAACTCAACTTTCACCCTGGAAACTTTGATTCTTTGTTTTAAACTAACTATATACTCTTAACGCTGGGAGAGGGGATAGGATAGTACCTGAGATAGCAACTGTGAAACTAGAATGATGGAAGCTCGGGTGCTTCACTGTGGTCCTCAAAATGTCCTGCTCAGGGTACTGTTTGTTCACTTGTGCTTATTTCTCTTCTTTTTATAGAATATGGTATCAAGTTTTCGTGTTTCTGAACTACAAGTATTGTTGGGGTTTGCTGGACGTAATAAAAGTGGGCGGAAACATGACCTCCTGATGAGAGCACTGCACTTACTGAAGAGCGGCTGCAGCCCAGCAGTTCAGATAAAAATCAGAGAACTCTACAGACGTAGGTACCCAAGGACGATTGAAGGTCTTTCGGATTTATCGGCTATAAAACCCACCGTTTTCAATCTGGACAGCAGTTCCTCTCCTGTCGAGCCTGACCTAGCTGCAGCTGGCATTCACCCGCTCCCTTCTACTTCAGTCACACCTCAGTCTCCTTCCTCACCTGTCAGTTCTGTGCTCCTCCAAGACACTAAACCCCACTTCGAGATGCAGCAGCCATCCCCTCCGATTCCACCTGTTCATCCCGATGTCCAGCTGAAGAGCCTGCCTTTTTATGATGTGCTCGATGTGCTCATAAAACCTACAAGTCTAGGTAAGTGTTTATTAGCTGTGCATGTTGTTTAATTCATGGAATAGGTGTTGTTTGTGGTGGCACTAACTCCAGACTTAAATGGCTTTTGCAGCTGTGGGTAAGTGGAAACTCTCTTCTCGCCTCTACCCTTGCCTTCTCTTCACCACTTGTCCCTAAAAGTGCCAAGACATACTTCAGAAAATAGCATGCTCTTTTGTAAATATTATATGATTAAAGATCTTTGTCTTTTGAATATTAAGTAATAAAGGAGAATAGTTTAATTAGAAGGTACCTACAATGATCATCTAACTGGATGAGCAAAAGTTAAAGAGTAATAGATAAGGGCACTGTTCAAATGCCTCTTAAACACTGACAGGCTTGCAGCATTGACCGTCTCTCTAGGAAGCCTGTTCCAGTATTTGACCACGCTCTCAGTAAATAAATGCTTCCAAATATTTAGCCTGAACCTCCACTTCTAGCTGAAAGATTTGGACCTTAAGTCTCTGCCTGGTACAAGCAAGGAACACCCCTGTTAGGACCAACAGGAAAAGGATTTCAGTAATTACCAGTAATTAACAAATTAGAACAACATAAGGAGAACAAGTTCAGTGGTTTGTTAATGTCGGCTTATCTGCGCACACAGATCACTGTGACAGTTCTGCAGGTTCTGACATCTGACACTGAAATAGTGCAGCAAAGGTTAGTGCTGTGCTCATGCTAGCGAAGGTTTCTCAGCCTACAGGTTGTTGCTGTACTGTATGTTAAAATGTAGAGTGGACCTTTGTCTTCTGAATAAACAGGGTCTCAGTTTAGCTTCCTTCAATGCTTCGCTGTTAAACTTAATTCTTTGGAATTATGTTTTGTCTTCAGATTCAACCTTTATTACCGTATATGGTTGCCTAACTATTTAGTAATGTTGTTTAGAAACACTTCAGCATTTTGTAAGCTGTTTTCATTCTTTTAAACATTTTAGTTTCTTATCTGATAGAGTCTTTTAGGTGTGACTTGTACCTCAGTGGGTCATACTCTGATCATTGGTTGCCCCTCAGTACCTAAAGCAGCAAATGTTACTAACAAGCATTATTTACAATGCCTGCTGTCACTTCTGTTTGCGAGTTCTGACACCCTGTTAGAGTTTGTATTGTACCTGTGTATCGGTACAATCACTGCTTTGGTGTTGGACAGCTCATGCTGCCACAACCTTTACAAAGCTAATCTCTCAGTGTCACAGTGCCCTGGCTAACTCCTGCTTGCATTCTCTGTGCGCAGTGGCCGAGTATCTTAACTAGCCTCCTGAATTATTCTCTGTTGTGGGACAGCTGCTGGCTCATAATTAACCAGAATGGTTGCCGGCCATGTAGTCCCTTTCTTCCATATAATGCAGCATGTGCCCCATGTTGTATTTCTGCTGTGCAGTTATCTTTTGTTTACTGGTCGATGATATGTAGAGGTGGTTGGAAATCTCCCTAACAGCTGTTTTCTTAACTTCGGAATGATCTGAAAAAGATGATTTCTTCCTTGGGGGTATCACCATGTTTTAGCGTTTCTGAGAATTAAAGATGCAGAAACCAAATAGGTAGATCAGAGAGCTAGGAGTGTGGTCTGCTTCACTGCGACTCTTTAAAAGGGATGAGTGTAGCTATTCTTTTATACTAACATCAGGACACAAGAGCAGGTGGAGGTGTGGGGTTTAGTTTTAACCCACACTCAGTTCAGTAACAGAGTATTTCCATGACCTTTTTTGCACGTGCTCAAGTGATCTTTTAAAATATAAAATGCTGTCTGTGGTGTGTGTGTCTGTGTATGTTGCTGTTTTGAGTTGTTTGAGGAACTTGATGTGTGTTTGCTGCACCTGGGTCCTATTTCATGTTTGTGTTTCTTTTGTGTGTGTGTTCTGGGCGTAGAGACCTTGTTCTCTAAATGTCATAGTGTACAGGACTGTCTGGCTCTTCCAAATGTTTCTGGCTTAGTTGTGCTATTTTTGTGTTCGTCCTCCTTGCTGGTTACTTTGAACTGTTGGGCAAGTCCAATCTGTCTTTATTTCAGGTCAAGATTTCTAACTTCAAGTTGGAACAAAGTACAAAAGTAACATCTGCATCCTGTGGTCCCTTAATACTAAAATATTTCTGCTTCCCATCAATGACAGACAAGTAGGATTCTGATACAAAAGTTGTATTTATTTATTTTTTTTATTGCCAAATGTTTCTGAGGGGCAAGTCACAGACATGAAGTCTAGCTGGCTTCTCTGGCAATAGGGGTTGTGCTCTTCCCCTTCTTCCCCAAAGGCTTTAGCTGTTTCTGAATTGAGTAATTTTCCAGCTGTTCATTAATAAGTTCTGGTGCACATTCTCTTGTAGTACATAAAAACAAACATCTTCTATGTTTTGTCAGGTATTCAGTATTACATTTGTTGCATGTTTGAACCTTTCTCCTTTGGGAGAAGGGATTATAATGTGGCTTGCCAAGCTCCTTTAGTACTGAAGTGTAATGTGATATTAAGCTGCCTGAATATTATTGAATGAATGATTTGTTCCATTGCTTTCCTCTTGACAGTTACATGCAGTTTAACCACAGTTTGATTGTATTAAGTGACTTAAGCCTTGTTCCAGAAAAAAGCTATTGCAGGTCCTGTTTTAATTAATTACTTTAATCATCATGCTTAAATCTCTTCTGTGTTGTCTTTTGTGTTTTCTAGTACAGAGCAGTATTCAGAGGTTCCAAGAGAAGTTTTTTATCTTTGCTTTAACACCTCAGCAGGTCAGAGAGATCTGTATTTCCAGGTAAGTAAGAGTGTGGCATGGTGTAGGTGAACATACAATATGAGGAGAAAGTGTGGATTTCTGGTCCATTAATACATCACATAAGCTCAGAGATACAGTGATAAACTCAGTCTAACTTTGGAGAGGATTATCTGTTCCACTTTCTTCAGGAACTGTTGTGCATCAGGGATAAATCCTATGCCACTAAAGAGATAACAAGTACTCAGTTCCACATAATATTGTGACTATTTAGAGGGGTGGTAAGCTTTTCTTCCCTACATGTTTCCTGGCTGCAGGAATGGAAGACTCCTTTTATCTTTTGTCATGTGGTTCATGTTGTTGCAAGACCTATGGTGTAAGCCAAGAGAATTCATAGGGTGTTTTCTTCTCTGGCAAAATCATATTTTATTGTCACTATAAACTGTTGACAGAGGATGCTGATCCTGAAGTCCTGCTGACAGAGGTGTTGCTTATAAAATCTGTTCACAGCTTAATAAAGAAGAATAAGAGTAAAGTTTAGTGATATTGGGGCAGGTATGCCAGTTCTTTTTGCATACAAGTGGAATGTAAGTTTTACTGTCTAAATGGGTACTTCTCTTTCTCTTTGTCACAGGGACTTCTTGCCAGGGGGCAGGAGAGATTACACGGTCCAAGTTCAGCTAAGGTATTTTTTTCATAGTGCTCTCTTAATTATAATTGGCTAATGTAACAGAAGTCTAGATGTTTATGTGGATGTATCAATGTGGTGACACTTGAAAATGATGTTTTCTCTTTTTGGGGGTGTAGGTTGTGCCTAGCAGAGACAAGCTGCCCTCAAGAAGATAATTACCCTAATAGTTTGTGTATTAAAGTAAATGGGAAGCTGTTTCCATTGCCGGTAAGCTGGTTTATATGTATTTGTGGCTGCTTTGTGACCTGTGATGTATGTATTTTGCTAAAACAATCAAGCCGTTTATTATCTCACAAATTTCTCAAGTTACTAATGTTAGGCATATGCTGCTTGGGATAGCATGATTAATAACAGCAATGTCTACAACCACTACATGGATTAATTGTGTTTTAGCCACCTACAGGAAACATCTGTTGCAGTTAATACGACAAAATTTGTCAGAAAGAAATGGGTGTCTTGACTTGACTGGTAGTAGCCCTTGATGATTGGGTTGAATTCCTTCTTGTTATGAGGGAATAGTATCACCCTCTTGTGTACATGTTTCCATGCTGACCTGTGTCCATCTTGTTAGAGAAGAATTCGTTGTGGGAATGGAGAACAGATACATCGATGTTTCCTAGCATTTGATGATACTGGAACAGAACAGTGTTGGCAGTCCTACACTTCACTGGCATCTGATTTTGTAAAAGGAAGTATGTGGGCAGGGTCACTTCAAGGCTTAAATATATAGAAAAAGTGAAAAACACTCTCAGTTTTCTTGAAAGATCCCTGAAATGGGTATCTCTACAATAGAACAGAGAAACTTACACAACCCATTCTGGAAGCTATAGAAAATGGGAAAAGTACAGAGGCTTATTTTCAGCATTGGGTTTTGAAAAATGCTGTGTAAAGAGAGGAGGTGTGACAAAAACTCTTTCAGAAAGTTTTTTAACC